CGATTTCTCTTTTATACAAACCAAAGACCCAGATTCCTTAGTCCTTAAACTCTAGACACTAAAGTACCCACGAGGATCCAAATACTATTTTTTATGTCAACCCAAAATTTAAAATAATTAAATAAAGCAATCAATTTATTTAGTTTTTATGAAGTTGGACAGTTGAGCAATGCAGATAAACAACACAATTAGTCATGATTTTGTGCACATAAAAAATGAAACTAAAAGCATAATGCAATGTTGTAGCCAGACATGCCTCAAATGATGAAGAAGGCAGTCAACCTATCTTCTTGACCAACTTTTCCAGCTCCTCTTGTGCACAAATAAAGGTTTTATAATTGACATAATTATCATATAAAATAGATGTTTGCAGCTTCAATTTACTATCAATATGATAAAGATTTCAGTGGGACAATGGCATCGTTATATAGTAGTAACTTGAGTATATATTAATTGATATTATATATATATATATTTTTTTTTAATTAATAGTAATACTTTAATTAGGAAACATATGCTGATATTATAATATGTGAATCTGTAATATCACATAACGATATAATTGTTGTGCTCCAAAATTCAATACAAATACAAAAATACTTTGTCTGCCTCACCATCACATAGTGTATACTTCATTGATGTTGAGTTTGTATATGTATACATATTTATACATAATTACACATTATGACATAATTTATAAAGGGCCGGATCCATGACACTACTTTTTTACACAATTTTTGGCACACGTTGTTGTGGGGCTCGCTTGTAATATATTTTAACCACCCAAACCATCTATCTTTAGGTCTCCCCTCAAAGTTCATGTCTACCAAAATTCATCTAAATCTGAAACCATATGGCGTTGGTTTAAGAGTTAGGGTTTCTTTGTAGAACCGTATATGTCCATTTTGTTTACTATAAATGTATGTCCATATGATGTTGGCTAAAGAGTTAGGGTTTCTTTGCAGAGCCGTATTTTTCCATTTTGTCTACTATAAATGTATGTCTTAATGACTTTGTATTTGTCTAATTTTTTTGCAAAGATGATCTATGAATAATGTTCTAAAAAATAGACAATTCGGATCATTAAGATGCATTACGGAATAGGTCTTATAAAAACGTGTGTAAAAAATAGTATAAAAAAGATAATGCCATGAATTTGTCCCCATTTATGAAATATTAATTATATAATCAATAATTATTATCATAATGAGTAAACTGGTAACAACATGAATATATTCACATGCTCCAAAATTTCTCGATGAGCTCAGCATTTGGAAAGCATGAGGAGAAAGATGAGCTCTTTTTTGCTCTTATGAAATGTGCCTTAATTATATTAAGTCCCATACTTAGATGCAAGACCATGTTACCTTATGGACCACATGCTTAAAAACATATTCAACAAAAGCTATCCTGACCAACGATCACACCAATTCACTCATCCACTTCACTATTTATATCTTTTTTTCTAATTTGGTAGGCGAGGTCAATCATATATCTTTAACTAAGATCTTACCGTTGCTAGTGAATCATACGATAAGTGACTATGGGAGGTTGCAATGTCTTTTTGAGTCTTTCTAATTCCCAGAAGGGCAATTGCTGTGGCAAAGCCACCAACTGGTCCTCTTTTTTTTTTTTTTTTTTTTTTTTTTTTGAGAAAAAAAAAACGAAGATCCTAAGACTTATGTAGCCAAAAATTCAAAAATTTCAATATATCTTGAAATTTTAGTCCAAAGCAAGAAATTACGTGAGTTGTTATTCAAACACTTCTGAAAAATCATCATCCATTTCTTTTATAGGAATTCAACAAATGAGTAAATTATATCAAGTGTACAAATAACGTTATTAGAACGTAAATGATTGACCAGACTTGATTATCTTTGCTTGTTCTTTGTTAATTGCTAAGGAATAGGAATGCGAAACCAAGTGCATCTTAGTTTAACGACTTACAGAGCTCAATTTGAACGACAAACAATCAACATTGGTTATAAAATCCGACATCAGCGTCATTGAAGTTTATTTTGCATAATGTTGTCGCACTGTGTCAGACTGTAACAGAAATATATGAGACAGATGCTAGCTGCGGGGTGGCTAAATTCTATTGGAGCTGTGCTGGAACCATGTAAAAGTTTTCCACATCATCACCCATGCTAGCACAAAATGATTGGTATCTTTCCTCGGATCTTTTGTCGACAGAATAAAGTTACACTAAAGAAATTTGAATTCCATGGATGTCAATTTTCTTACACTGTTTATTTCCCAATTTTGTTAAAAAAATTAAGAGAAATTCTTGTCTTCGACTGTCCGATTAGACGAATTGTCTGACGTGCTCACTTTGGGGATCTGCCATGCCAATGTCAAAATAAACAGTCCCTCAGATGGTGAAGTAAAAGCATGAGAGGCGAGTGATGTGACGAGTGATGTGATGAGTGATGTCTTCATGTTTCAACAACTTATGAAATTTTGAAAAGAGAATGAAATTAAGATACTTGGCTCAGTAACTTGGGGATCTGTGGACATAATATTTTATTTGTTCTTTAGTTTCATGGTAGACTTTATTTAGTTATTTATATTTAGGTTAAATTTCAGTTTAATACTCTCAAGTTTTATGGTTTTTAACATTTAATACATGAACTTTTTTTCATCCCAGAGTCGTACCTAAAGTGTTAATTTTGGAACTGTCTCATACATCCGTTAGTCTGGCTATTAAGTCTTCTGTTAACTGATGACGTGGCATCCATATGAACAATGACTGAGCACCGCATGTCATTAAAAAAATATTAAAATAATTAATTAAATAAAAGTATTTAAAAATAATAAAAAAACACACACACACCCACAACCCCTTCGTCTTCCTCCACAGCTCCACGGCTCCACCCTTCCACCCTATCCACCCCCTCCACGGCTCCACCCCTCCATCCTCTCCACCACTCTTTCTTTGGATATATAAAGCCTACCCATCTCTCACATTTTTTCATATTCGAGACACGCAAAAACATATTTTCCTTTTTATTTTGGACATTTTCTCTGTGATTTTCTCGGAAGCCAAATGCTCTTAACAATGACCGATCAACTCACCAACGACTAGATCTCCGAGTTCAAGGAGGCGTTCAACCTATTCGGCAAGGACGGAGATGGTCTCGTTCTTAGATCCCTCTCTCTCTCTTTCCCTTTTGTTCTTATTATGCCTAATTAATCTATGATATTTGGATCTAAAGTTGTTATTGCATCAAACTTTAATCTTTTTTTGGTGAAAATTTGTGATTGATTGAGTATTTTTCAAAGATTGAATTGATTTATCACCTCTGAGTGTGTTTTGATCATTGAGGATAAGATCTGTTAGATTTGAGGTTAAATGTGTGGAATTTAAATATATGGATAGATTATGATCCTCATATTCGTTTCCTCCATTGTTTGGATTATCCAATTTTTGGTAAAAGTGGGTTTTTGATTCAATTTCTCCATTATGGTTTTGGAGCTGCAAAATTAATTATTCTTGTATTGGGATGGAGGGTAGGGGAAGACGAAGGGGTTCTGGGTGCCTTTTTTTTTTTTTTTAATACTTTTATTTAATTATTTATTTTAATATTCTTAATGACACGTGGCACCTAATCATTGTCCATATGGGCGCATCATCAATTAACGGGAGATTTAACAGCCAGACTAACGGATGTATGAGACTGTCCCAAAATTAACACTTTAGGTATGACTCTGGGATGAATAACACTTTATGTACTAAACGTTAAAAACCATGAAACTTGAGAGTAGTAAACTGAGATTTACTCTTATATTATGTGTCAGCTTATGATTTGTAAGGAAGAAGGATTCCTTAACTGTCAAGCAATGTTTAAAAAAGTTGGGAAATTCCAAAGTATAGGTTAGTCCCTCTAGTTGTACCGAACTTCCATTTGTTCCGTGTAATCCCAATCGTAGTGATTTAAACCATATAGTTGATTAGTTACTGCAGTTTTAGGATAGGAGTTTAATTCCATAACCAATTTTTCACCAATAGTAACACGTGATGATCGTGTAGGGACGGATTTACATTTAGCCAAGGTGGTCTCAAGACCACTCGGAGTCAGAAAATATACATGGGAATGTGTGTTTCAGAACCCTCTAAATGTTTGATATGGATAATTTTTATGCCCACTAAATATTTGAGATAATATCTGCTAGACATATCTCGACAGGTTGCGTCAAAAACACTTGACAAATTCTCTCGATATCACTAATCAAATTGCTTATTTTGAAATATGTTGACATATGTGCAATATGATTTGACTAACGACAACAAATCCGTCAAGTGCTCATAGAAATGCCTCAGTGAATAAACCTTTTTTTTTTTTTTTTTCGCGCGCTTCGCTCTCTCCTTCTATCTACAAAACTTGAACCTTTAACATTGAAACCCTATGGTTCAAATCCTAAATCCAGCACTAACACATGGGGTGTTTTTACACTGAGAAAGTCCAATCTAGTATTTACCCTCACATATGTCACTCTCGAGCTAATTATGCCAAAAATAACAAAATTAAGTTGTCCTTGAATAGTACAATCAGTAGAGTACGGAATTAACCTCCGACAACTGAATCTACAACCAAGGACTAAAATCACACGATTTGGCATCTGACAAAATAAAATCACTTTAAATGGGAAGTGGTCGTGTTCCTTGGTGGGCCCATCAGACAAGAAGCATTATCAAGTTGCATATTTGGGTCATGCCAGCCCTAAGTTCCTAACCCCTAGTTAATTTACCTTAGAGAACACTAAGCCATGTTGTCCTAGGTGCATTGGTTTCTCCATCTCTCCCATTCTTCACCCACGCAACCTGTTTCGGTGTTTTGTGGACCAAATTTCAAACAATCTTTAAACATGACACCCTGGTGTTCCAAGACAATGACTTGGATTTCATCCACAATCAGTCACCGCTTTTCTCGATTCGTTCTAATTTCTACGATGATGATGATGATGATGAAAAAAAGTGAAAACAGTGAAACTGATAAGCATGTGAAAACCTAAAACATTCCATTTCCATTTCCAGCAATCATACAAATCAGGTTTACCCGCCTCGCTAAACTGACGGAGTTTGCATTGTGCTGCTCATCTATGTACCATATACTAACTACGTTCCTATCTCAAAACTTTCTGAACTATCTATCATACTATGTTTCAAGGAAATGTCAAACAGAACGGGAATATAAGAAATATTTACTGATTTCCGGACTCAAGTGGTAATGTTGGCAGAATTTCCGTTACGGAATTTGTCAAGCTCTTCTCTGTTCTTGCTATCCTTCTCTCTGGTGTTCATTGGTAGCAGTGGTTGAGATGTAGATCGATCAGGCAGTTCTGCGGAGGATTAGAATTGAGTCAGCAGATACACAGCCTTGGGTATTCTAAAGAGTTGCTTACTAAAAGTCCTGCTTTGTTCTAAATATATACCAAAGAAAAAAAAAAAAAAATCTTTTCTTTCGGTCAATAACTATACAAAACTGATTCAACTATAGACATCATAATGATGTAACTGAAAGATGGAATCAAGAACAAACTTTCGCCCAGTTTTAAGAGGAGATAAGACTATAGGAATTGCATTTTGCTAACCTGGCAATTTTTGGTCTATAAAGAACACTACCAAATTCACGGTATACCTGCAGGGCAACAAAAGACTTACACTCAGACCAGTATATTATAAGATATTCGAGTAGAAAGAGCATAACAGAATCCGTGTTACCAGGCAACAACAACGTCCACTGTGTAATGTTTGCGAGAAGCTAGAATCAGGAGGCTCTGAACCACAGCAACTGACCAAGCAAGCTGCTTAAAGCACCTGTAATGACAAGCAACAGTAGTGTCAACAAATTAAGAATACCAGTTTATCCATAGAACACGCACCCACACCCCAATAATGACAAAAGAAAGTATATACAATCCTCCTATCAATATAGATTAGTTACCTCCTTGTTCCATATTTCTGATATGTGCGCACAAATACTAAGGTAAAAATCATGTGTGATGAAAAAATCAAATCACCACAACCATACCCAATGCCTTGGGGAACTGCACATTCATGTACATCATATTAGCATGAAGGCCATTACACTTAATGGAGTTACTGAAGAATTAAACCTAAAAGATGAATAACTCAAACCCACAGTCGATCAAGAGCACTTCAAGTGCACTCTCTGGAGGGGGCAGCCTGGCAAGATTAGAGCCCTGAAAGAGACAGTTGTACCTGATTGTAAAACATTGTTTAATTACAACAATTTAATGATTCAAGATTACATCCAGCTAATAGCCGCAACTTGCAGTCTTCTATAAGTTTACCTCACGACAATGGTAGCTTGGACCAGGAAGTAGAGTGGAGTAGAAGGTGATGATCCGGAGCATTTGACACACCTAAACAAAATACAAAATATAGGCAAAGATAGTAAAATACTGGCTGAAAATATAGCAGGACAACATAAGATACTGTTAAGTCCATTGATCCATACAATGGAAATTAAGAAAATTCACAGAAGTCGTGCATTCTTTATTCATAAATTGAAGAGTTTCTGAGTGCAATTCCCAGTCAGGTGCTTCAGAAAATGCTCCAAGCTCAAGGATTAGTATCATATAAGCAGCAGGTCACATAATCTGGGAACCATGAGCAGATTTGGAGCCTTTAATCCGTGCAGTTACTATAGAATATTCACCAAATTGCCGTAGACATGAATGTTTATTGCTTATTAGAAGATACAAAACACTTAAAAGCTTCCACCTAAAACAAGGACATATGTAGCCATGAGGAATGACTTCCATAAGAAAGATCAATATGGATGATGTTATAGGACATGCAGATATACCAGTGTACAAAAACGGAAAGAAAAAAAAAAAATTTATTGCAAAATAAAGCTGTACTTACGGCTAAATACACAAATACTCTGCACCATATCAGGACTGTATATATCTTTTTCAACTGGAAAACAAAAGGGTGAAATGTCCACTGCACAGAGTAGACACAGTATTAGTGCAATCAACAACTAAAAACTTTGGATTAAGGTACTATCAAACTTCTACAGGCAATAAGGAGCAAAGTTAAAGAAATAGAGAGCTGCATGAACAACTAGCATTTCAAAAACAAGAGACAAGTCCAGGATAAATCTAAATTAACTTCTAATATTATCTACCAGAAAGCTTACCAAGATAAAGGAAAAGAAGATGACAGCGAAGAGAGTCTCACTTAGATAATTTTTGGCTTGACCAAGTTCCTAAGTTAACACCAAACAACAGTAAAGAATGATAAGATAGATGTTTTATTAAACATTAAACCCTCCCAATAAAATCACTAAAAGTATACCCACCGGGAGTAGAAAGAACCCAGCATCTTGAAGGGTTGGTCCTGGCCGATGTAAATAATGGACTCCATGAGCAGCTACTCCATGAAGATACTGTTAACACAAACAGAACTACTAGATAAACTTCTGAACAAGCACCAATTCTCATAAGATATCTTAGCAAATAACACAAAGACCCCACCCAGTGAAAGAAAACTCCACTGAATAGGGAGAATAATTTCGGCCAAAGCATAATTTACTGTCCAACACATAAGGGTCTCAACTTCATATCACCGAAACAGCTACAATTCTTCCGCAGGTTACACACTTTAGCGCAACAAATAATATGAACTAAATCGACACCAATCAATCCATCCCCGGTTCAGAATCATTAATTATGGATTGAAGCGAACCTCAAAGTCCACTCCTTTGGGATTCAAATTTAAACACTAACTTTGAACCATAACTACTACAACTAATGGTAGTTCACAAAACCATCGTAAACACCATTACCATGATCATGTCTTTTCCTATGATTCGATTATAATCGCGTACTAAAATCGTAAGTTCACAAGGTAATGAAGATCTATACAAACTAGATGCTGCAAAAACAAACACTTCATGTACAAAATGAATGAAAATTGAAACCGAAGGAAAACCTGAAAAATGAGACCAGCAAGGACAAACTTCCAATTTCCGGCAAGAAGCGAAAGCTCAGTTGAAGTCTCTGCGCATACTTTCCTCCATAGCTGCACAATCCAAGCATCAATTCATCAATTAACGCTGAAATTACAAATAAAAATTGAAAATTTGAAGTGCAAGAACAGTGGCGGCCATGATTGTAAATTGCAGCAACCTTAGGAGCCTCGCGAGCAAAGATAAACGGCATTTTGGGAGGATGTGAGGTTAGAGCTCGTCATGAATCAGCATTAACAACTCCAAATTAACCGCTATAAATTCGAATTCGAATCGTCCGACGCGATAACAATAAATTCAAAAGAAGAGGATCATTTGAGAAAATTGGATTGAATTTTGAAAATTTGAAAATTTGGGGATTGGGATTTTGACTAATTCAAAAAACGAGATAAAATTCTCTCCGAGTATTTTGTGTCTCGGTCTCCTCAGCCTCGGCGGTGGCAGTTGAGAAGAAGGTTTTAGAGTGGTTGGGGGAGAGATAATTAAACAGATAATTATAAGTAATTATAAATTTATTTATTTATTTATTGGAAAAACAACTTGATATGGAACTCCAAAAAATTTCTATACTTAAAAAGAAAAGAAAAAAAATATTTTTTCGAGGAGTTGCACAATTAAAAAAACTCTTTTTTATTTTTTGGTTAAATATCAAAGTACGGTTAGCAGTCTGTATGACGTATAGAAACATATATCTTTGCTCAACCCTCCTCATTAGATTAGTTTGATTTGATTAGTTTAAGACACGAGTCTCGAAATTTAAACTAATCTAACAATATCAATGGGGTAAGCATTACTCTCACTTAAGGGAGCAAAAATGCACTCTGTGAGTAAATGAATTGTCCACCTTAAATCATGTTATTACAAATGTGAGTTAGATTAGTTACATAATGTAAATTGTCAATCTACACCTAAACCTATCATACTAAGCGATGTATTAATCAACAAGATGAAAGATTCGAACTAATAACATCTTCCACATTGAAATTCTATTTTGATCATCACAATGCTTTGATTGTGTGGAAGTAGTTAGTTACACACAAACACTTTAAAAAAGGGGTAATATCGGTGCTTAAAGTAATAGTGTTGGTGCTTGGAAGTGATTCGATTTTTCTCGGTAAAGAAGTGGTAGTGTTATGTTGAACTCTAATAGAGAAAATACAGTTCAATCGATCAAGCGTATTTTTTTCTTCATCTGAGATTTCATATTTGTTTTTCTCTTTTTTAATATTGCTTGTAAATTGAAAAAATAAAAGTCAAATTATAAAATTAGACACTAATCCACTTTCTCAGTCATACGTCCTCATTTTTGCTTTTGGCTTTCCTCCTAAGTTTGGAACAATACTTGACTATTCAAAGACGAGTTAGAATTTCTACTCAAAACTCTTAGTGTTTTAATCACAGAGCTTTGTACTTACGATCAGAACCGTTCATACTATGAATCACCCTGTAAATATCATCTCTGCAAAAAATAAATTAAAAATAAGGTCGTTTAGTCAATCTATTGTAGCAAATATATAGACGGTTCGTAATGTTTTTACCAATACCATTCATTTGTTTTTAAACAGTTTGATGGCTAAATATCCTTAGTTTTAATTGATTTTTTGCAAAGACGATCATTATAGGATGATTTATAATATGAACGGTTTTGATTATAAAAATGAAGTTCTATAAATTGACAACGAATAATTTTAAGAAATTTTGAGTAGGAGTTCCTACTTATCTTTGAGCAGCTAAGTATTGTGCCTAAGTTTGTACTGCATTCAAAAAGAAGCCAAACCAGTTTTCCTTCCTTATCCGTGCAGCTTAGAAAGCCAGTTTCATACAACAATGCATATCCACCCGTTAAATTCCCTTTCGACCACTATTGAGTGTATATCCACTCGTTAAATTCCCTTTCAACTATTTAGCGCATATCCACCTGGTAAATGCATGTCGTACATACATTTGTATTGCCGTTGCTTCACAGCCAAGATTTTTTGCAGGGCCCTAGATCATTGCCTTGCAATTATGTAAGATACCTAGACACTCTGTATCTTCTACGTTTGTATTAGAGAGAGCGTGCGTGTGCGTGTGCGTGTGCGTGTGCGTGTGCAGACAGGCATACATTTGTTTTGTGTGTGCGCGTGTGCGTGAGAGAGAGTTCCCGTTGATGCACATAAATCAGTTGAATCAGGCATGGAAAACAATGCAGACGGAATATGCATACCAAATGAGTAAAACAAGGCCACCCCAAGCCAACGAAGCCCCTGCTTTACGAGAATCGGAAGAACGTCTATCATAAGCAATCTTACTCTTACTTTATAAATAAACTTTTCCACACCTCAAATCCGTGACCTTGGAAAATAGCCTGCAAGCTGCAACAATATTTGGCCTCGTATTTCAAGAGGGGTTTGCACCCCCATACTACAGGAATTGGATTATTACTCGCCAAAACATTCCCTTCAGAAAATGTTGAGTTTATTGAAATTCAAGTGAAAAAAAAAAAAAAAATACTATTCACTCACTATATGCAGATTTAAATGGATTGAACACTTTAAACTCACAATACATATGAATTACTTCATATATTGCTGCTGACATCTACAGTAATCTGCGGATTCCCGACGCCTGTTATCTTCGCGGGGTTATGAATCTAAAACCCAATACAAGTTAAGGCACCTACCGCAGATTTTGTACAATATCAACCCGGGCAACTGAAGATGTACAGTAACTTCAAGAGGCAATCATGGTAAAACTAGACCCTCCCGACTGGAGAAAGTGGGGGATTTGAGGAATATCTTGCAGGAACTTCCCCTTCAGTTCGATCTGGAAGACTTAATCCAGCATTTTGCATTAACATAGTTTCCCCAAAAGTTTGTTCTTGTAACGAGTTCCTTGACACAGAGAATTCACAGAGATTCCGACTATCTAATACTGCTATACATATGGAGAATGCTTGTAAGATTGAGAGTGAAGGATTGAACTCAACTGAATAGATCCCATCTTTGAATGGGGCCAAACTGAATGCAGGCTGGTTTTCTTGTAATCCTCCCTGTGCATACAAAATAAAGCAAAAGGCCCAATTAGCCGGGAATTTTCAGAAAAATATGGTGGAAAAAGATCACCGAGGTTAAAGAAAAACAACATACCTCAGAATAAAGCTCAAACCGATCTGTGATGTGGCGAACCTTATGTGAGGTCAATTTCTCGCTGACTTGATTCTTATTGTCAAATATCCTTAGTTTGCAACCCAAATCCCAACCTCCACAGTCACATGATCCGCCTGAACTCCAACGTTTAATCAGTGACGATGGTCCTCCGTTGCTTGGTAGACTATGGGTACCAGTAGGAAGTATCACTGTTGTGCTAATAAGGCCTTGAGTACCAACAAAAGGCTTACCGTCTACAGCTTCCCCAGAATAAGAATGGCGTCTTACCCTAGACAAACACTCATCTGAACCAACCACAGGAAAGATACTACAGTTATCCCTATCATGCCAAACTCTGGTAGACTGCTGATTGGTTGTTTTCGGGATTTTGACAACAGCGGCGGCAAGCTCATCATTTGGCTGGAAGTCTGAGGTTTGACAACCTGCCTGTGTCAGGTTTACAGAGAATAAAACAAACTCTCTAACGCTAAAGTCTTCCAGTCTGACCAAATTGGGAAACTGAGAATCAGCAACCTTCATTTGAGCCACAACATTATGGACATAGTCATGACTCTTGCTTTTGCTGCCTTGATGCATCCAAGTTCCAGTCTTTTTCTTGACTTCCTGGATGCTGAAGAACGTGTAGATGCAGCTGCAGTCATCATTTTTGGAGGTATTTAACTTCTTCACTGTGGCTGCAAGAATGTCAATGTCATTGTCAACCGCAAATGTGAAAAGGGGCAGGCCATTCTTAACTGCAACTCGTAGAAGAGCTTGAACTGCTGTGGATCCACTCCTCTTGACCATAGCTGACTTGTTGACATTAATTGTTCTGCAACCAGTCATATCTAGTTTTACCTTCCCTGGCAGCTCAGACAAAGAATCAACTTCCCCCACAGATGACTTGCGTAGCTTATTTCTTGATATGGAACCTTTCTCTGATGGCTCCACTAAGGGATGGCAGCTAGCCACCTTTGGTTTCAGCAGTGGATCCAGTAACCTTCTCAGAGGGCTCGACTTGGCTCTGCCAGTGGAATTGGACTTATCATCGTCTGAAGCATCCATAAAAGTGGAAGTCACAGTGTTCGTGGAACCAGGTTTGGCTGAAAAAGTTGTTGAACTCAGCTTCTGTACATCTGAACAGTCCTTAGAACTGGAAATCTTACTGATCTTACCCACGCCAATGCTAAACCGGCGAAAAGGTGAACTGCTCCTTACTTTTTCAGCAGTTGCTTTGCTTGGTTTCAGATCTAATCCCTTATAAGGCTCACTTACAGTTGAAGATGCGGAGGCTACAGCTGCTTTTCTCTCTTCTACTTTTATGCCTCTTGATGGGCTTGTTCCTGTTTTAGCTGACTGTGTTCCTGAGCAAGGTACATTAGATTGTAATCTGATACTCGTAGCATCTACAGAGCCAAGCTGTTTTACCCGAGAGTGTTTACATTCAACTTCAGAAGGGAAAGGGCATGAGTGTGGCATATCAGTTCTGAGATCTGCATGGCATGCCTCCTTGGGTCTATCTGAAAATCTTCCCCAGGTTGCTTTTGCTGCTCTTTGATGAAGCAGTTTCATTGAATCAGATGGATTGGAAACACCAGAATCTTTGTTTTCAGGACAATCTCTAGGCAAAAGCAGAACAACTTTCTGGCATCCTTCAAGGATATCTCGTTCAGAATTTTCTGAATAAGGTTTACATAAGTTCTCTGATTTCTTCATTAATTCACCGTGAGCTGCAATTTCATGTGGGCCACTCTGCAAAACTCCTTTTTCTGGCTCACTCTTTGGGTCTAAATCTTTTCTCATGTACTGTTCCACCTTGATGTCTTGGCGGTTTTTGCATAAAGATTTATCTGTTCCAATGGACTTTTCCAGCCCATTCAAGGTGCTACTCCCATCAACTTTAAGATCTTGAAATTTTTCGACCCTTTCTCTAAAACAGTTGACAACTTCAGAATGGCCCTCTATTGGAGATTTCATGAAATGAGATTCCAGTGAAGGACGACGCACCTTCGGTCGAGCAGGAGAACAACTGTGGCCTCGGCTAGAAGGGGTTGATGATTCATCTGTCGAAAAACATGAGGTTGTATTACTACTTGATGGTGAATACCAGCTACTTCTGTATGGCATCTGTTTATGGCTATGCTGCCATTTTTCTAGGCGCCCCCAGTCTAGGACACCGACATTTAAAACTTTCTCCTGACGGTTTTTTCCCCTCTCAAGATAACTTGGCAACTTTGACATGTACTTAACAAGCTCATCTTCTTCCTTTTTCTTTTTATCAATCTGCTTCTTTTGGTGGTACCCAACAGAATCACGTCGAATATCATTTATATTCTTTGTAATCTCATGATGGAGATCAGCATAGGACAAACTAGACTTTCTTGATTTGGACTTGTTTTCTTGGTTTATGCTTGCAGTTGTTGGACACGATACGCTTCCAGACTTTCCCACAGATTGTTGATCATTGGAAGTCCTTCTGGGTTCTAAATAGCCTTCCATGTTGATATCTGCAATGTCCTGCTTTATCAAACTTGAAAAATCTTACTACAAGGAAGCCCCATATGCATCTTATTCAGCTACACAGATGCTGGCCAATCTGCAGATATAAACAAAGGAAAACTAATGAAAAGGGCTTAAAACTTTGAGTTTTAACAATAAGGACAAAATAAAGGGTAAAGTGAATAATATCAGGTTTGACTTTTCTAGTGTAAAAATGTGGTTTTCCGTTAAAGTGAACGGTACTGTGGGCTTTTCGTTAAAACTCCCTAAAAACAATGACAAAGTTGAATACAGCGGCCCTACAAATTTTAACACTAAAACAAGGTATTGCATATATTACTAGCAAACAACAGATGGACATGCTAAGCACTGTTCCTTCCTCGCTAACTATATTGGTTAATGGACAAATGAAACTTACCCGTTACACTAATCAAGAAGCAAAGTAACAAAGTCACAGCCTTTTAAACAAGAAATACACCAAGTTGAGGTCTCCCTAGTAAAGCAACCCGAAAAATAGTGGAAGCGCTCCTCCATAACTTCTCTCAACATTTTAGAACATGACACACATTCTAATTGCAGTATTTACAATAACAACAGCAGAACTCAGGAATCTATCACATCCTCGTTTCCAGGAAACTCCGACGAAAAAATAGCGAAAGCACAATACAAAATGTATCTAGATCTTGATTTCACAGTCATGACTCGTTGGCTCGGCAAACATGGTGTAGTAAACAAGATAAGCTCTCACACATTCAGATCTTACAATCACAGGAAAAATAGCACAAATGTACTCGTCTACTCTGCTCAATTAAAACTATCAATAATCTCACTTTCCAATTAGCTACACATATGGCCTTAAATCCTAATTCCGAAAAACTGTCGTCCACAAAACACAATTGCAGAACAAGAGAGTTGAATAGCGTGAAACTGAAATCTCAATGCAACAAGACAATTGGGGAGCTGTACATTGACAAACGGGGAAAGCAGAGAAGCAAATTCAAAACCAAGAACTTTGGTGGTCCATGGAAATTTGAAACCCCAATCTCAAAAATCAAAGATAAGGTAAAAACGACCTGTCGTCGTCGACGGCGTCACCGTCGCCGCTAAGCCTAACGGAAACGACAAAGCTCGCCAGCTATTCCACAATCAGAACCAGAACGCTCTGCCCCGTTTGGCAATGAGAAGGAAACCACAGGAAATATTTTTCTCTCACTTTCTCAGCTGCCAAACAGTAAGTGAATATCTCAACCCCCTTGGCAGTTAAAACGAAATCACAGCGAAAACAAAATAACATAAATAAAATAAAGGAAATCTTTTTCTCTTCACTTTCTCAGCAGCCAACAGAAAATTGAAAGTATTTCAACCGAAAAATTCCGAACGGAAGAAAATGGAAACTAGAAAACAAACCGGCACAAAAATCAGGGAAACAGCAGGCAAGAAAAAATTGCATTTTCTCGGGAAACAAACGGAATAAAAAGTCTCGTAATTTCTGACTCACACGAGTGGCATCGTATGCATAGTACTCGCCGGAGTATATCTTTGGTTTGTGCAGAGGCAATCACCGCCTTCAACGGAGACCACGACGGGCTCGAGGGAGGAGCAAAATGTGTCGGTGGCTCATTGGTCTGTGCGAGCAGAAAGGTGAAAAAGCAGGGAGATCAAACGCGGAGAGGAATCATTAGGTCAGCCTCGGAATCCGAGATGCTTGCGTCTTTCTCTTTCCCTAACGCATATCAGAAGAGAGGAGAGAGAGAGAGAGAGAGAGAGAGAGAGAGAGCTGCGAGTTAGAGTGAGAGTGTGTGGTGGTGTTTTCTGGCTGACTTGATTTGTATTGTACCGGGAAGCAATCGTTTTCATCGGACGGCTGAGAGGAAGACCGGATGATCGACCGGTCACATCAGATAGGCATCTAGGAGAGAGAGACAATATGCTCATGGGCCCCGCTTTTGAAAGGGCATTATTTTATTTACATCTAATATTTTTTCGTCATTTAGTATTACAACCTAACGGTGTTCTACTTCACTTATAAGTAAAAAGGTTTAGATTCGATTTTTACTTAAGACGAGTTTGGACCACATTATAGATTTTTTAATGTGTAGAAACATGACTTAATACACCAATGTATAATAATACAATTGATTAGAAACTTAAAAAAATTTCAACTAATAGTATCATCACAAAGGTGTATCAAGTTGGGTTAGTGACACAATGAAATTTTTTTCCAATGAACATAGCAATTGGCAAATATATGTCATTGGGTACTTAATGACATTTATCCCTAAGTAAATATGATGAAGTAAATAAGAAAAGGAAAATAGTCCAACTTAGTTTAATTTTGATGAATATACTATCGATGCAGTTACACATCGACCAAAAAGATATACCAAAAGATAAAAAGAGGATATGCTTTGAAGAAGTGCCTAGCAAACTAAAGTGATCGCTTTCAACTAAAAAGGGGATCAGGGAGAGGCTGAGCAGTAGAAGAAAAAGAAAGCAAAAGGTAAAAAGTTCCACCCGTTAACACCTGTTTATATTTTACGAGTATACTCGTTTATTTGTTAAAGTAGTTTTTCATAATTGTAATTATGAATTTTGAATAAGCAAGTAACCGTAATTACTCGTACCCGTGAATATATTGTGCTCATATCTAAGAGTAGTAGAAGAAAAGAAAGTAAAAGGAAAAGGAAAAGGAAAATGCTAGGAAAATCAAATTTCTAAACCAAATTTGCAAATTAAATGTCTAAACCAAATTTGCAAATCAAATGATGTGTTAATAATAAAAAATAAGCACGTTAAATAACACTTAAGTAACGATAAAATCATAAACAATCAAATCATTTAATTTATAAAATTTTATTTAAAATTTTTGTTTCTAACATTACGCAAAGATAAAAAACAAAAGGTAAAAGGTGAAGGGTAAAAGGTAAGGAAAGATATCATTTCCGGATTTCTTCCACAAAAGTCATCGGATCAAGTAATCCAGATTTTTTAAATTTTATCCAACGGTAAAAAATTATCATAACTTTTAAGAGGTTAAAACATGTGAATCGTTTGATAAAATTTTAAAGACTCTGATTACTTGATTCGATGATTTTGATAGAAAAGATCTGGAGATGATCTTTTTCCAAAAGGCAAAAGGTGAAAATGTGATGAGCAAAAGGAAGTGATAAAATTAATAGGAGAACATGCAGAAAAAAAGGAACAAAGGAGATCCAAGGTTGTCACAGCCCTATATTAAAATAATTAAATGCATACTAGGGGTAGGGTAGGGCTTATAACATTTGAATTATAAAACGAAAAAGGATCATATCTGGATTCTATTTGGGGAGATTTAAATAATTAATCAATCGTGTCCGTTTATCATAAATTTTGTAGTTAAAAATTATTTAAAATTAAATATAAATAGTACTTAACAAAAATTGATTGCACGATGTACGATAAACGGACACTATTAATTGATCATCTAGATCCCCACAAAGAAAATCCAAAGATGATCCTCGTCCTTATAAAACCACTGAAAAGAGGATACCTAATTTCCACGTTCAACTATATACCTACAAGTTGTTAATAACAATAAACATTGTTATAAAAATCTCCGCCTAGTGCCGTCTAAGTCTCGCCTATGCGTTAGGCAATTGGCCATTGCTCCGATTATTGCCTAGACGTTTGAAAATTAAAAAAGGACACCTGGAACTACTGAGGCGCCCTCCTAGACCGCCTAGGTACTCGCCTAGCCCGCCCATACCCACTTAGACACCCGCCTAGGTTGCGACTCACTTAGATAGAAAATAAATAACTTTCATTTTGCATTTAATTTTTTCAATAAATTGTAAGAGACTTATTGAATACTTAAAGGAACACACATTGTATACATGTTTTCATTATGTTCCAATAGCTCATAATATATATATATATATCATTCTATTTTGTAGTATAAACACACTTATTTACACGAAATATAATAGAATTAATTAAATCCACCTAGTCCGCCTAAGAGCTAGGCCCCAACCCGTTGCCCGCCTAGCGTCTTTTAGAACCTTGACAATAACTATATCATTATATTTTGTAGTTTATGATGAAATCATATATATTTTAAGTATAAACAGACACTTATTTACAAAATATAATAGAATTAATTAAATCCACCTAGTCCGCCTAGGCGCTAGGCCCCAACCCGTCGCCCAACTAGTGCCTAGCGTCCTTTAGAACCTTGACAATAACTATTTGGTCTAGGGGTGTGCTATCCACGTATCCCTTTTTACTTCTCACACACCCTTTGTTAATTTATGTCTGTTGATCTTCTTCAATTCATCCGATCCGACGCCCGAAAACCAAAAAGGTGTGGAAGAAGTAAAAAATGATGTATGGATATCACAGCCCTTCGGTCTATTGACTTTCCATCTTTATTTTTTTGGAACAAGGTCTTTCATTGTAATATCATGAATGATTGTCGTGTTGTTGAAACTTGAGTAAAAAATGGTGGTGTTGTTGACACCTATTTTACTTCTCACAAATATTTTTTAATTTTTAACCGTTTGATCGAATAAATTGGAAAAAAAAATAATAACAAAAAAATTTAAAAAATATGTGTGAACGGTAAAAAAATGAATATGTGAGTAGCACTTTTGTAAAAAAAATAAATAAAAAGGTCTACCATGTAGATAATCTGACAGTTACAGAAATTTAAGAGCACTTTGTAAAAAAAATAAAATAAAAAGGTCTACCATGTAGATAATCTGACAGTTACGGAAATTTAAGTATACAATCACGTTGTAAATTGACAAAAAAAAAATATCAAGTAGGAACCTTTTAGGTTAAGATGGTTATAAAATGTGTTTTCTCAATAAATATCTCATTTTCTAGTAAATATAAAAAGGAAAAACTTGCATCACCGGTGTATATCTCATTACATAACGCATCTTCACAATGTAAATTTTAGGGGTGTAATATCCACACATCCATTTATTGATTTCTGTCATTTGATATTCTTTAATTCATTCAATTTGGAGACCGAAAATTAAGAGAGCATGTGAGAATTTTAGGGGTGTGATATAAAAAGGAAAAACTTGCATCACTGGTGTATATCTCATTACATAACGTATCTTCACAATGTAAATTTTAGGGGTGTGATATCCACACACCCCTTTATTGATTTCTGTCATTTGATATTCTTCAATTCATTCAATTTGAAGACCGAAAATTAAGAGAGCATGTGAGAAGTAAAACGTGTGTGCAATGGGCCTGAAAAAAATTTGGTTTGGTAGCCGTGTAGTTTGTGGAGTTTCCCCAACGAAAATGTGAAGCTTTCTCAGAAATTATCATTTTCTTTTATGGTTTCCTTTTTTGTGCTTAAGGGAGAGCTTGGGGTGATTTGTTAGCCTCACAATGGGTTAGTAATAATGTGGTTCAAATTCTTCTTTAGTGAGAATCGAACGTAAAACCTCTTATTTACAAGTAAAAAGGAATATCACTAGATTATAGTAGTAAGTGTACTTATAAATGACTCAATTTTAAAATGAAGTGTATTGAATAAATTCGTGGGGTGTTAATAATTAAAACAACCTTCGTCTAATTTCACTAAAAAAAGAGAAAAAGAATAAAGTTAAATTTCAATAAAAAGGGGCCAGAGTCCAATGAAGCTCATAAAGTTTTTATGAAAATCTTATATATGGAACTTCATCAATCAAGCTCATAAGTTAGGGAATTTTTGTGATATTCTAGAGTAATGGATAATTCAGATTTTTTTTCAACTGTTAGATCTTTGGACCAAAAATAAAATAAAAATAAAATAAAATCTAACGATTAAAAAGAACCATAGAATTTTTGCAGAAGCTAAATCATACTGGTTTGGATCAGTTTCAACCTTCTCAAGTTAGAATCAAACTGGTGACTTGTGCTTAATTTATAGCAAGTAAGTCCTGTTTTAACATGAACACAAAATCAAGAAACTTAATCCCAGAAACAAAATAAATATGAAGTTATTTAAATAAATACCATACTTTCTTGAAATTCCAATTATCACTTGGCCCATTTCTATGCATTTGTTCTCGTTGTTCCCTTTGAGTTTAAATATTATGGCCTACTCCAGCCTAAAGTTATGCTAACTCGAGACACTTGAAAAGTTCATCCACTTCAGAATATGCCAAAACCTATTAGTGCACAAATTATCAATTCTCCAATTACTTTTTTTTATTAAACATTGCTTTATAATAAATTTATTGCATCCTAAATAGCCCAAGTATCATAGTTCATCAACATAGAGAATCGGCTAACACGAGTGGTGAATTGGTGAGGTGCGCGGTGATTGTGGCGAAGACGACGTGTGTCAACAAACGAAGTCTTATTGGAACATCATGTGCTTTGCTTGGGTTTCTAATGTTCGAATTGAAATGAGTGCGTGAAAAACTTTTCTTTCATCAAGTTAATTGAGTTTATCTGATTTTCGACACCAATAATTATACAAAGGCTAGAAATCGCTTATATTATCGACATTTATCCGTGCAATTGTACATTGTGAGAAGCTTCATAATGGTATATATATATTTTTTCAGTATCACTCCATTTTATTGGAATTTTAAGTGGTATTTCAAAGCACAAATTCTCATCTTAAACTACCTTTGTTGTTTATATTTTGTTTTAATTCAAAATTAGATTTTATTCTTTTATTTAATTTAATTTCTTTTGGTATGAATTCATGGGATGTAATATCCACACACTCATTTTTACTTCTCCCACACTTTTTTAGTTTTTGGCTATCAGATTGGATGAATTGAAGAATATCAATGGACATAAATTAACAAAAAATGTGTGAG